CGAGTCCAGGTTTGCCAACCAACTACATTGAAATTTCTTCACACCCCGTGATAATCATTAAAATTCGTAGTCAGTTACCTGACAAACCCGAGTGTGAGTAGGGATATTAGACTGTTTTATAATGGTAGCTATTGCTATGACTTCTTCTCTATCTGCTATGTAATTATTCTTTACAGTGAAAAGTATTTAGGCAGGGAAACTGATTAAATTTTCGGAACAGTCGTTTAAGCGTAAAACATACTTTCATCAACGTTAAAGTTGAAATTATCAATAATAACGAAATTTATATGTTTTTGATTGATGGAATATTTTAACTAAAAACATTTGTGTCTGTTCGCTTTGAAGTTAGAGGAATGAGACCCTAACAGATCTTCTGAGAAGAATGAATCAGGTAATCAACTGATCACATGTAGTAAGATTGAATTAAAAATAATTTGAATGGTGATTGTATTTTATCATCTGTTCGACAGATGAGAAACCATTTTATCAAAGGACCACATGAGTTCAGATACTACATCAGATATGAATTATTTAATAGTAAAACTACCATATTTAACGTAATAAACAGTTAGCGATGTCAGATAATCAATGAGATGATTGCAACAGCGCAGTGTTTCCCTTATACGGTTTTGCATGTTCAAATATGTAACACTGAATCTAGTTTATCATCTGTTAGTTGACATCTCAGTTTGGACTAGAAATGAAGTACACACATGAAAACTCTTGGCCATAAATATAAGTTGACCCCAACAAACAAACAATTTACGAGTAAAATGTTTCTGATTATAAAATTTAGTCATCTTTGCATATTTAAAACACTTATTCAGGATGTTTTAATCAAAGACTTTTGCTAGTTTCACCTGGAGATAATGATCAATGACTTTAATATCAAAATTAAACTGATACAGTCTTTAAAATAATCAAATGTTATGAGAATTCAAGTTTGAGACCTATCATCTGATGGCTAAATTTTTAAGGAAATTCCAGTCAAATGGCTTGTTTGTTCAATATTGGGAAATTAAAATAGTTAGGTTCCTTAACTTTCTGAAATAACGTGCTAAATTTGATTTCACGCTCCATTTCCTCAAGTTTTATTATAAATCCTCCTTTTTCCCTAAAACAATTTCTAATTGTATCACTTATGGCTGTTTTTATGTATATTTTTGAAATATCTACACAGCCGCTAGAATTCGAAAGCTGTGAGGAGAACTAGTCGATTGAATTAAGATTTAATCACCTAATACAAATACATTTGATAAGTAATTCTCTCATTCTGTTTAAAGTTAAAGTAAATAAACTATTTAATGTGAAATTGTAGCTTTTACTGGACAGAGTGAATACTAATTTACAAATACTCTTCATTATCGATGAAGTGAAATTCACTTAGTATGAGACATCAGACTAGTAAGATTACTTTTATCTGGGGATGATTCTACGTTGATCACCGTTTCTTTACACATAATGCTGCAAGAGTAGTATGAAAATAATAATGACGTCCCCCGAAATCTCACGTCATATACTTGAAAATGGGGATTAGAATTGAGAAATTTTTATTCGATAGATTGATCATTTAATCAGATCAGTTTACTCAAACCCTAGCTATAGTCAAGTTAACCTATCTGAGATCTTTAACAATATGTTGTAAGCAAAGCTAAATGGCCTGATGCTTACTAAACAAAATGATTTCACTGTGCACCTAATCAAAAATGCGGTATTCGTATTTGTTAAGTCCTTCTATGATTGTTATAGATTATCTTGAATCTTTTCATCAACAAAACGTTCTCTATGGTTAAAGCGAATCAATGCTAACTTAAATTTCCGAATCAATTCGATTAGCTGATTCTGCTCCAAAATAATAACTTTGTCTAGGCTAGGATTGTAAATTTAATAAAAGATTCAAATATATAGTATTTTATAATTACATAATTTGAATACTTCAAGCTCATTTTTATTAAAATTGGTCACGGCTGTTCAATACACGAAAATATATTCTGTTGGTACATTTTGGTAACAAGTTGGCGTAGTTATTATTGCGTAACTTGAAAACAGATCCCTCGAATTTCTATCGTTAACGTGTCATCAATGAAGCAAATCAAGTTGAGGGGGAAACGGTAACTCACTGATAGTGTTGAATGAAACTAGCCAGAAATAAATGACTGAAGTTGAGAATGTGAACTATCGAATTCAGGCTAATTAGTTAGACCGGCTGGTGTTTGTCAATAAACCTGCAGTCCACGGTTTCAATCATCTGTGTATGTGATACATGCGTATTACTGTAGTCTCTTTGAACAGATTAATTAAAAATCAAGAGTTTGAACTTCAGAATATCGGTGTCTTTTAAATAACATATACTGATTATCGACAAATTCTAGTCATCTGTAGACATTCTCATTGAATTTCAGGAAGATATCTCTCTTCTGGCTGCACATGCAATCAGAATGTCCAGAATATTCGTTACTTGTTGATTCATCATGGATTCCTCACAAATGACTTAATTTAAATATTCAATCTTAGCTAACAAGGTCAACTTATCTGAAAACGAATATTAACTGATAAAATTGGATAATTAATATGCTAAATTACTAGTCATTTCTACTTTGACGATTCCAGACAGTAATCTACATCCAATGATTTACTGTAATTATGTTTAATCAGGAAATCAATATCATAAACTTAAGTCTCATATGAATTCAGAAACCATAAACTAGTGAGAAAGACTTTTATATGAATGAGAAAACTTCGGGTATATTTTTTTTTAATTTTTAAAATGGTCGCTTAGAAAACTATCTTTGAACAAGTCACTTTTTGTTATTCAGTCTAAAGATAAATGAGCCTGAACCTTTTCAAGTGAAAATAAGTAAGGAAATAATCCATCTTAAACCATACAAGTTTCAGGTGAATTTGATAAGTAATACACTTTACTTACTTGTCGAGGTAACATTTTATGTGAAAGAAGGAAAAGGTTAAAAAAGAACTTTTTTTAAATCAAATTCTTTATTTTGCACGAATCCTCAGAGAAATGAAAAGATTACAGAAGTCGAATAAAACACCCAACCAAAGTCTTGTAAGTATGATTCGAAGTTGATACGGAATCAAATGTCAGCAAAATATAAATACTATTGGATCGTAACATCGTTTGGATTTACAAATAACCGTGAAAAGTATTTTTTATTTGAAACAAAAACTACCAAACGGGAATTTAGATAAGCAAATGGAAATCTGATATAAATCTTGGACTCTCTGGTGCTGTCCAAAACTGATTCCAACATATATTTAAATTATGTACTTTAAGCGTAAAAATACCTATTAAGCATATTCAAAGTCATAGATATTAACATTCCCTTACTACTATGCAGTAAACTTATTTCAGTGTCTTAGTTTCAATTATCTTAAACCCTTTAAATATCAAACACTGTACTACAATTAAATTATTGAACTGAAAACTGACAGTACACACTTGTTTTTTTAGAATTCGGACAACATTTTGAAGTGAACAATATTAAAAGTTGACATCACGAGATGTATGCTGGTAGAGATACTGAAAAACCGTTTCATGTTAGGATGCTTTATAGCTAAATTCAGTTCATACTTTAAATTATTATGCATCTGAATAATCTCAAAAACAAGTCATTCTAGTAAATTTTAAAATGTTTATATTATCATAGAATTTAGAAAAAGATATTCATTAAGGCAATTATGCTTTGATAGCTTAAAAATAAACTACAAAGATTATAGTCTAAGTATAGTAATCTCTTCAAAGTTGATTTTTATGTCTCTGACAATCACCTTAGTTGCCGGTAATGGATTTTAGCCACTACGTCTAAATGATTTCATAATAACTACGAGAATGTAATTAATTTCGACGAAGATACCTTGAATAATTGTTTAAGGGCATATAAGATAAAAAATAATCAATCATCGGTAAAGTACTTTCACTTTATAATCTTGGCTCAGTAGAACTCAGACATGAATACATGAACAGATACACTATGATGAAAGTTTGAAATTCCCTTATAAATTTATACCAAAATCATTGCTGATCTCAGTAACTGAAATGAATTTGAAATTAGAATACTGTTGTTGAACAAGGACGATTATTAATCGAAAAAAAGCTATAACACTAATCTTTTTCATTTTTGATTGTCAAGCGTCATTAAATATCAGTTTGTTAGTTAAGATATTTTTATTAAAAATATCTAACTGTTTGTACAGTGATCCTAAAAAATGTAACCATCCTTTATATGTTTACAAACAATTTTCTATTATTTTATACTTACTTATTTAATTTTTGGTTAATGTTTTACTCTAAAAGGTTGATATCATAATATACAACACTTTATAGATTATACTATCTCTCATATTTTCAATAATCACTATATACTCATTCAGTTTCGTATTTATTTTGACTGAGATCATGAACCGATTGATGCTAGACCACCATTACAAACCTGGAAGCACTGAATGGTCATTTCGTCCTATTGTGAGACAACTCATCAGTTCTCATCCACGATCCCGCTCGTGGAATTCAACTACTTAACCTCTAGACCATCCAACGGTGTTAATATTTAGCCTCAACCAATCCACGAAATTGCCCGAACATCTTCCATTATACTGAGATAGATACCTGTCTCTACCCGATACAGATTAACTCCACTGATCATAGCTTATTTATTCAATAGATCAACTACTATCGGTAGTATATTTCCTTATTATATAACGTTCTTTAGCTAAACTATTTCTCTTTATTAAACGTTTAAATAATAATATTGAAATATTAAATTGCATACAAGTAAGAATAACAAAAGATTCATCAGTAGTTCCTATATTGTTTTTCGTTGTTGCTAACTGTTAATTCCTTTATTATGGATAATTTACTTTAGTTTATAATAAGAATATATATATATATATAAATATTGATGATTGTTTCTTGTTTCTTTTTTTTCTTTTTTTTGCATTTTTTTAAATACATCACAAATGATAAAACATTTTCATAAGTTTCACTATTCCAAATTAGATGATTCTAAACCATTTTCTAAACGTTTATTCAAACGTCTAATTACTAAAATTTTACAAAAATAAATAATTATTTAATTTATTTAACTTACAAATAATTAAAACTTCTGCTATTTTCTCGCCTAAACCATCTTCTTTGAAATAATTTTTAATTTTATTACGAACTATTGTTAAGTGTTTTAATGTTAACACTTTGAGTTTATCAGTAGTATCCGATAGCATTTTTCGCTATAATAATTTTTAAGAAAATAAATCAATTCACTTACCAGTAGAAATTCTTTATTTTCTTCAGGTCTTGCTCTGATAGTAATATAAGCAAAGAAAAGAAGTGTGTGTGAGTTAATTTATGCAAACTTCCGATTTTTTTTTATGAAATAAACAGAATCAAGATTAAATGTTTACTTTGAAAGTGAGACAGATATCACAGATGGCATTGATCAAGAGTTATGTTGTTTGGGTTTTTTTATTTGAAAGCGCTAAAAATGCTCACACAATGGTGTAGAGATAAAATAATATTCATTAAACCTAAGGATTCTTAACTAGATCCCGTCTGATTTGGTTCATCTTAATTATTAACAAGTTTCAAAACAGGAAGAATATGACTGTATATTTTTCCTAACGCTTCAATCATTCTATAATGATAACAATACTTTCAGCTTAGAATTTAAATCTGCTTGTAAACATTTCCTATTATATAAATATGTTCTAAGTAGAAGTTTCAACTGGGCTTTTTGGTCCCTAACATGAGTTTAATGTTTAGAAAAGCGCTTATAATCTCACCTAAATCGTCACTCAGTCATTAGGATTATCCGTTCGAATTTTACAATTCAAAAATGATGTCAACAAAAAACAAATAATAATACTAATAAAAGATCGATCATCGATTCTATGATTAAAATCACTGTAAAGAAATTAAAGTTTGTCTGTTTTATCTCTGTCGTCAATAATAATGATAATAATTATTATTATTTTTATGAAACGGTATTGAACATGTAACCAAGGTGATTAGAATCACAGACTTTTGAATACATGTATATTCTTCTTCGTCAGCAAATTCAAATCTTCGTTACATACATTATTCACAAAATAATATAATTTGAACGGCTGATAAAGAACCATTCTACGCTAAAAAGATATTTGTACTTTGCAACTTAACAGTTCAGTCAACAATGTTTTGAAATTGCGATTTCAACGAATAGTCTATAACATTTGTAAGTAATTCTATATTCATGTTTCAGACGTTAACGTATATACATATGATCTGCATATACATCTATTCAAACAACTTTTTATTTCTGCTCACAGAGTATTAATACCATTATTTTACTTGAATTTCCCGATCTGATCGGTTATTTGCATGTATGTGGGTGATTTCCTTGAGATTCTATGAACCTATGGTAAGTCTTCATATTTAAAAACCCTTGACTTAATGAAAGAAGTTGCTAAATTGGTAATAAAATTACTGATTAATCGCAGTTTCCACACACTTCTGTTATTATAAACTAAGAGGTAATTACTGACAACCTTGAAACGAACTTTCAATGCGCTGCTAGAAATCGTGTCGAGAACGAAACAGTGACGTTGGCTGAAATTTAGATAATAAGGTAAACTATATACAGGTGAGAACGTGAATATTAAGTTCAAACTCTAAAGATCTTAAGCTTGATCTCATTTCTATGTGACGAATAAATGTTCTCTTCGTAGTGACTACCTTAACGAACAACTTGATCACATTCAAATGTCACAAATTATGCAATAAATTGATCTACTTAGACTTTTATTAAATATTTACGTCCTTATATTTAGTTTAAATGTACAAGATGAATAATAAAACCTGAAGTAAAACTAAATGTATTATTCATCAAATTCTAACAAAAACTGGATACTAAAAACTATTGTTAAACTAATTAACTACTTAAACGTGATCAACATAAAACTAATATCATTAAAACAATTAAATTTTGCCCTAATAGAATTAATTATTATCATACAGTTATATAAATAAAACTTACTCAACAAAAACTAATGTGACAAGGACTAATAAGCTTAAAACTAAGATGAATTTCATATTACAGTATAAGTTTACCAATAAATATTTAATGTCTAATAAAATTATCATGCTTAAGCTTTTATATTATAATTGACTAAGTAGGAATCACGCCATATTAGACAATAACGCGGATGGAGATAGACAGACAGAAAGAGAGGGAGAGAGAGAGAGTAAATGAGTGGGAAACAACTTACGAAGATGTGAGGTACCATTAGCCGTTGTAAACAACTTACTATGTAACAGACAACTAATAATTTATATATTGACTATTAGTGATAAACTTGTAAGTCAGTTGATATATCTAATGTTTATATTTCCGAACAGTTTTTTAGATAATACCCAATTCAATTAAATCATATGTTTATAAGTTCCTAGATTAGTTCAATAAATATAACTTGGATACTTGTTCGTTAAACAACAAAACAATTCATTAGTTTTTCAGAAAATCGTGTATGATTTATCAAATTCAACAAATTGCAGGATGTTCATTCATTTTTTATATTGTAAAACCGAAACATTCTGTAAATTAGTGAGGTGTGGTCATTATGTATAGAATGTACGACATTATACTTGCAGAGTTCACAGTAAGTTCATAATTATCTGATGATATTTTAAACAAACTCTGAGGTGCAGTTGCATCCAGCTGATGCAGCCCGGATAGGACAAAACGTACGTCCTGGATTCAACAGATAGCCATCATCCGTCTCTGCCTTAAATGCTTGTAATCCGTTAGCAATATCAAGACAATCCTCACACGTGCACATATCACAAAACAGATTGATCAATTGCAGTCCTAAACATCAATGGGAAGATACAAACAACCAATATATTTGAATTAATATCTGATAATACTTTGAATGTATGAATGTGTAATTTTCACAATTTAGGAGACAATATATACATTTAATTAATTACTCCTACTAACGTTTCCATTGTGCAGTAAACAAAGCAACAATTATGAGTATGTAGATTCATCGGGAAAAGGTAGTTTTAACTGGTTCACTGAACCATCAATTCTATTCAGAATATAAACTTTCACTGAACTTAGTTTTCTGCTAACTTATCATATTCATGTCTGTTTTAGGTGAAATCTACTCTCTCCCGCTCGCTTGCTCTCTCTTCGTCTCATTTTAGATAGTTCGGAGAGGCTAACTGATAAATCAATGTGAATTTGAGAGATATGATCAACGGAACCAGTAGTATTCTACTGAATTCTTCAGAATCTAAACATAGAACATTGAGGATGTTTGGTGATAATGAATACGAGAATTTAGAATACTCGTTTCGGTTTTTGTATCATTAGTTGACTAAATGTACTGCCATCGGTGCTACATCCCTTCACATTTTGAAATACTCGACATTATGAATGTATTAGCGTTGTAATTGTCTGATATCTATTGATAGCGACACGTTAACAGTGAAGTTGATGTCGTTCAGAAATTTGAAGTTGGCGGTTGATGAATTTCTATCCCATTTATAATATCACTATGGATATAAATCTGTGTATTTGATAAGTTACGAATAAGATGACTTCTATACTTAACCATGAATAATTATAAGACTTCTTTACAAGCTGTGTGTTAAAGAATAATAACCAAACATTTTTTTATTTTGTAAACATTTGTCAAGTTTGAAGTACATACTTGTGTAAAATATGTAAAATTTAACACAAAAGCAACGAAAGTCTAGGTGCTTACAAAATGTTTAAACAGTATAACATTTAATTCTTTCCGTAAATATTAACTTTACAGTTATGATATCTTGGAAATGCTATGTATATCATTATATTTTATCTCTACTTCGAAATCGTTAGTTAATCCTTGAGTATATGTTGGCTTACGAGACTTGACATTCCACTTAATGGATAATTAACATCTTAAACAATATTCAATGATCAAATACTTTCTAGTACGTTGGGAAACGTACATCATTGACCTGAAAATTTCACTAATCACCCTTTTTGTATGTAGATAAATTGTAGTCCACTTAATTGATCAGTGCTAACAATGTTGTCAATCACATATGCAGAAAAGTTCAGGAATAGTTATTTGAATAATTATAGTGGCAACCAACAAGACTATAGTGATTAATTTATTATTCAGTAAAAACTTGTATAAGCTTATCTTGTATGTGAATTTCAAAAACTTTTAAAGGATATCTAGAAACCAAATCATTATGAGCTTCGCTAATCTGCTTTATTAAGTGTCTAACTTACTTCCAATTTCAGTATATTTTCTAGAATGAACCAGAGTCCCAAGGTTAATCGTGACACCATAAAAATACCTTATATTTCTTTAAGATACGCTAAATATAAAAGTAAAGCATTTTTATATTTTCTCCTTTTGGTTTATTTTTGATATTCAAAATTTTAAGACCTGTGGAGTTCAGAAATTGGCTAGAAAGTCAATATCTTAAACCTTCAGTTTACCAGATATATCACTCTATTTTATGTGAAGGTAATATTGATAGCTCATTAGTACTCTAATGACTGGTTATCATTACTACTATATCGTAACTTAATCGATAAAATTAGATCAATATCGAGGACTAGATAACATGAAATTAGAGATTATTGAATGGCAACTTATAATTTAAACACTTGGAAACATAGAGAATTCTTGTTTCTAGGAATTTAATCGAGTACTGTTCTATATTCTGAGGGAGAGATTAATGTGTAGGCACTGAAAAATTGACTTCATGATACATGTTTATTTGGTTTACATAAATCTTCGATCATCTGCAAAAATAGATTTCAGAAATCGAGATTATTCAGATTTAGAAATGATTTCGACTAGTATTTCATAATAATATGCATTAGTATTAAACTAATAAAGGTTTATTTTATGAATAACCATATAACTGAGACTTATACATACATAAACATGAATTAATGACTGTTTAGAAAAGAAACTGTTCCAGTGATGTACCCTTATATATATATATATATATATATATATATATATATATATATATATACGACCAACATTCTAAAAATTTGTTTCGTAACTATAAATATAATTGTGTATTACTAATCTGTTGATATTTAGATTAGTGTCGGTTATAAAATGTTTTTATCTAGTTAAAACAACTTCCTGTAACGTATTTGTAGAGAAAAAAAAGAATAAAGTAAACAAATGTTGTTATGTAATACAAAAATACTTCAATGACTTTAGTATGAAAACGTTTTCATTTACACTACAATATGACTGAATGAAGAGTACTTTTTTGAGAGGGATGATTACTTACTTACTTACTTACTTACTTACTTACTTACTTACTTACTTACTTACTTACTTACTTACTTACTTACTTACTTACTTACTTACTTACTTACTTACTTACTTACTTACTTACTTACTTACTTACTTACTTACTTACTTACTTACTTACTTACTTACTTACTTACTTACTTACTTACTTACTTACTTACTTACTTACTTACTTACTTACTTACTTACTTACTTACTTACTTACTTACTTACTTACTTACTTACTTACTTACTTACTTACTTACTTACTTACTTACTTACTTACTTACTTACTTACTTACTTACTTACTTACTTACTTACTTACTTACTTACTTACTTACTTACTTACTTACTTACTTACTTACTTACTTACTTACTTACTTACTTACTTACTTACTTACTTACTTACTTACTTACTTACTTACTTACTTACTTACTTACTTACTTACTTACTTACTTACTTACTTACTTACTTACTTACTTACTTACTTACTTACTTACTTACTTACTTACTTACTTACTTACTTACTTACTTACTTACTTACTTACTTACTTACTTACTTACTTACTTACTTACTTACTTACTTACTTACTTACTTACTTACTTACTTACTTACTTACTTACTTACTTACTTACTTACTTACTTACTTACTTACTTACTTACTTACTTACTTACTTACTTACTTACTTACTTACTTACTTACTTACTTACTTACTTACTTACTTACTTACTTACTTACTTACTTACTTACTTACTTACTTACTTACTTACTTACTTACTTACTTACTTACTTACTTACTTACTTACTTACTTACTTACTTACTTACTTACTTACTTACTTACTTACTTACTTACTTACTTACTTACTTACTTACTTACTTACTTACTTACTTACTTACTTACTTACTTACTTACTGACTTACTTACTTACTTACTTACTTACTTACTTACTTACTTACTTACTTACTTACTTACTTACTTACTTACTTACTTACTTACTTACTTACTTACTTACTTACTTACTTACTTACTTACTTACTTACTTACTTACTTACTTACTTACTTACTTACTTACTTACTTACTTACTTACTTACTTACTTACTTACTTACTTACTTACTTACTTACTTACTTACTTACTTACTTACTTACTTACTTACTTACTTACTTACTTACTTACTTACTTACTTACTTACTTACTTACTTACTTACTTACTTACTTACTTACTTACTTACTTACTTACTTACTTACTTACTTACTTACTTACTTACTTACTTACTTACTTACTTACTTACTTACTTACTTACTTACTTACTTACTTACTTACTTACTTACTTACTTACTTACTTACTTACTTACTTACTTACTTACTTACTTACTTACTTACTTACTTACTTACTTACTTACTTACTTACTTACTTACTTACTTACTTACTTACTTACTTACTTACTTACTTACTTACTTACTTACTTACTTACTTACTTACTTACTTACTTACTTACTTACTTACTTACTTACTTACTTACTTACTTACTTACTTACTTACTTACTTACTTACTTACTTACTTACTTACTTACTTACTTACTTACTTACTTACTTACTTACTTACTTACTTACTTACTTACTTACTTACTTACTTACTTACTTACTTACTTACTTACTTACTTACTTACTTACTTACTTACTTACTCATGTTACTCCTCGTGGAGGAGCATAGGCCGCCCACCAGCATTCTCCATACAATCCTGTCCTGGGCACTCCTTTCCAGCTCTTTCCAGTTGTTATTCATCCTTTTCCTATCTGCTTCTATTTCCCG